TGTCCTGTTTTTCTTGCCATTGGGAGGTTTTACAGCAAGCTACCTTTTTTTCAACTTAGCTCCATGTATCTAGATTTGTTTTCTCTTTATTCCCGAGTTCTAGCTGTTCTTTCTCCCTTTGCTGGCTCATATATTAATATCTAATCTTGGTCTTTAGTCAGGATATACTGACCAGAAAAACTCAAGTGTGTTTGTATCCCAAAGATGATAAAAAAAAGTTTTTTTTTCCTCTTTCAGAATTCCTGTCTTATGTCGAGCTCAACAAGTGAGACCTTCTTAATAAAGCTTTGAGTGGCAGATTCCAGTGAAATATGAGCTCAAATCGAATTCTTCTACTTCACAAACTGGCTGGAGAGCAAAAGTCACATCAATTATAGACCAAATTGAAGCAATAAAAGTCAGCTGTGGGTTGACTTGGCCAAAAGACACATTGATCCCTGCCAACATTATCAACCAATCTGTCAATAAATCAGCCGATCCATTCAACCTGTGCAAGTTCCCTGATTGACATAGCACATCAATAAAGCACTGTGTCTTGAAACAAGAGATGCGTTCACCTTGAAGCCTGCTCCCTCACTTCTTCCCATGAGAGTTTGAGCCAGTTTGGTTAACCCTTCTGGATGTGGCAGATTCCTCATCTGTTAGATGAGCTAGATAGCATTGACCCTAGAATCTTAAGAGTGTTTCAATATATAATGCAGAGCACTCCCCACAGCACATGGTGAATGCTAAATATATGTTTTTTCCTCTATCCCCCCTACTCCACCATAATCAATACCTAAGGCTGCATTAAACAAACAAACAAGCTAGAGTAGGAGAAGGTCTCTCATACTGTCTTGTCCAAATCTACTTTCCCAAAGAGCTGTCAATCAACAGTTAGGCAGTGGTGGCATGGTCACACCAACAGCTGTTCCCCTATAGTACACCAGTGCTTGTAGCTTGAAGTTAGATCTGTATTCTGAGGCTGTTCTTGGATTTGTCCTTCACTTTACCAGCTATGGAAGAGCAGACTAATTCCTGAGCATAGCTTGCTGTGAACTTTGCATTGAAAAAAAAAAGATAAATAAAACCTAAGTAATTGCAGGACTCTTACAGAGGAAGGCTACAAATGAAAGTGACTGTATTCAGCCTGAAGCCAAGCGAGCTATCCTCCTAGGAAGACAGGGATCCGGAACAAATTGGTCATGTTCTGCTAATCTGGGGAAACTGAAGATGAATTATTCATTGAGTAATTAGCACAAGCCTTTTATAGAGTCCTTTAGGGCTGGCTGCTCAACATACTGTTGGTTGATCAGCAGCATGGACATCATCTGGGAACTTAAATGAAGGATTCAGGCTTTTTCCAGGACCAACTAAATTTTTTTTTAAAAAATCTGCATCTTAACAGATTCACACATATGCTGAAGTTTGGCCAGTATTGCAATCTAGAAGAGCATTTGAAAGCCGACTTTAATCTGGCTTCAAATTATAATCGCACTCTCTATCTCAGCACACACCAATGTCCTACTTGCCAGTTGACCAGGATGAGGATATCCTCAAAGCTTTGACTTCTGCATTAGTCTGCTTTTGGGCAAGGCATTCCCTTCAGTCTCTATTTATATAAATGAATTCAGTTTCAGATGAATGATAATAGATTTGTTTCATTAGCACCATTTTGACAGTAATTGGTTCAGTGGAACTGAGGCTAAAGAAGAGTGGCAGGGGAGAAAGGGAACACTTAGGGGAGGAATGAGTTTCCATATGGCTCCTCATGAATGTGCCATTACAAATCTTATTGCTTCTAGTTAAGCATACTGAGAGAGGTTAAGTGGCTGGCTAACTCTGTGCAAGGGGTAGAACTGAAATTGAATTGTAGGCCTGTTTGACTTGAAGCAGCATTTCCCACTATTTGTTCTAGTCATGACTGCTGACTGCAAATGCATGCAAAAGCCTGAAACTCAAAACAAGCCTTCTGTAATCACGGTAGAGTCTCTAGGTCAGAATTCTAGACACAGAAAGGAAGTCCTGCCCCAGCTCCCGCTAGTGAGGAGTGACTTTATGACCTTCACCTATATGTCTTTTGTCACCTTGGACCTTACCTAGTGCTTTTCATCAGAATACCTACATGTGGCAGCTCTGTGAGACTGGGACTTTTCAACAGCCTGCTGGCCTTAACTGGTATCTTAGTTAGGGTTTCTACTGATATGGTGAAATACCATGACAAAAAACAAGTTGGGAGGAAAGGGTTTATTTTGACTTACATTCTATATCACTGTTCATCATCAAAGGAAGTCAGAACAGGAGCTCAAAAAGGGTGGTAACTTGGAGGCAAGAGCTGATGCAGAGGCCATGGATGGGTGCCACTTACTGGCTTGCCTCTCGTAACTTGCTCAGCCTGCTTTCTTTCTTTTTTTAAAATTTAATTTAATTTTATTTTACAATATAATTTAATTCTACATATCAGCCACGGATTCCCTTGTTCTCCCCCCTCCCGCCCCCTCCCCTTCCCCCCAGCCCACCCCCCATTCCCATCTCTTCCAGGGCAAAGCCTCCCCCAAGGACTGAGATCAACCTGGTAGACTCAGTCCAGGCAGGTCCAGTCCCCTCCTCCCAGGCTGAGCATAAGCCCCAGGTTTCAAACAGCCAACTCATGCACTGAGCACAGGACCCGGTCAAACTGCCTGGATGTCTCCCAAACAGATCAAGCCAATCAACTGTCTCACCCATTTAGAGGGCCTGATCCAGTTGGGGACCCCCCAGTCATTGGTTCATAGTTCATGTGTTTCCATTCGTTTGGCTATTTGTCCCTGTGCTTTATCCAACCTTGGTCTCAACAATTCTCGCTCATGTAAACCCTCCTCATTCTCGCCAATTGGACTCCTGGAGCTCCACCAGGGGCCTGGCCATGGATCTCTGCATCCAGTTCCCTCAGTCATATGCTCAGTACCACTAGCCCAAAAATAACATCACTCACAATGGCCTGGGCCCTCCCAATTAAGAAAATGTCCTACAGGCTTGCCCATGGAGGCATCTTATGGAGGCATCTTCTCAATTGAGGTTACCTCCTCTCAAATGAGTTGAGTTTGTTTGAAGCTGACATAAGCATACCTGGTACTTCAGAGACTCCAAAGTGAGTGTTCCATTGGAAATGACAAGAGCTGTGTCTCCTTTTAAACTGAGCCTCTGGAACCTCTACTTGCTTGTTGGTATATTCCAGTTATCTTTGCAGGCTTTGGAAAAGTGAATAGAATTCCAAAGCTCTGGTCTACAATCCCAGGAGGTAGAGATTCCAGTTAGAGATGCCAGTGGAGAGTAAAAGAAGCGAGGTAAAATCTTGGTGATGTCTAGAGAAGTTAGTGTGTGTGTGTGACATAGACACTGGGTTAATGTCTGGCAGAGATGTTGAAAATCTCATTTTCCCATTGCCTTCATGATTATTTGGACTTCTGTACTTTCTTGACATGATTTTTTTTGACAAGACTACAATTTTTCCAAACAGTGTTGCTTCTCCATTGATTATAATCAAATGTCTGAGAAAAAATACAAAAAAATCTTTCAACATGTTAGAGGCTTTGAGGAGGAGAAAACCCATGGCATGGAGATGCTCAGAGATTTATGAACATGGAGATAAGAGGGCTAAATGAAGCCCATGACCTTCATTTTTGGGTCCCAGTACTTTTCTAAATGGCTTATCTGTGACTATCTAGACCTGAACACTATGCTCTGAATGGCCCTGAGTCTGTAAGGAGGCATCTCATTTAGCACGTATTCATTTCTATAAAGGTTACTGTTATCAGCATATATGAGAACAATTCTTTATCCAAGAAGACCACAGGAGATAAGACTACAAACCATGCTGATAACAACAGTAGTGGATATAACAGTCCTGAAAGGTCCATGAAGATGTAACTAGATACCCAGTCTCACATCTGCTGTTCACCTTATTCCAGAGAACCACCAATCGAAAGCCAAACAGTGGTAGCTCCAGCAATTTCTGAAGGATTTATCTTTTCTTGCCATCCAAAGAAGAGGAGTGGAAAGAATATAATCTGATTTTTCATTGTGTGTTTTAATGTAGAGCTTTACAAGTAGGAAAATTAGAAGAAACCGAGTGAGAGCAGGATTTGTTTAGAGCTTGCTGGCTCCAAAGCCCAGCAGGAGATCAAACTGGGAGATGAACTGACCCACGGGTGCATGTCTATGTAGGTATGTGGGTGCACTGAAGAAAGATTGGCTGTCAGAGCTTGTGTCTGCCAGTTTTTCCTTGAGGGAGGAAGCATGTTCCAAATCACAAAGCATCTAAAACATTTTGACACAGGGGCTACAAGGATCTGTAGCAGAGGCAAAATACTCTCTAGTTGACTGAAATATTGTGCTCTGACAGGCTGCACCCCTTAGCTGTATTGATGTAGATGTGTTTCCTGCCTAAGGTTTCTTTTAGTCACCTAAAGATGAACAAGAAGCTGCTGGGAAGTTTGAAATGGGTAGGGGAGAGATGCTTGCAGAGGTTGTATTGGGCCACAGGAAATGGTCAAGTGGAAACATGACTGAGTTCTGTTTCTGTCTTGGACCCTTGTATTCATACTCCTTCTTTCTTCAGAATACATAGAAACGCTCATTAGTCTGCTTTCTTCAATTAAGGAGTACCTTATTTATATATAGAAAAGTTGACTTCAGAAGGTAGTCAGAACTTTTGTGTGTATTGGTGGCAGCGGGGTGGAGTGGTCTGAGGTAACAGATTGAAGACCTGAACACTTTCTGATTCATGTGTGCGCGTGTGTGCATATGTGTGTGTGTGTGTGTGTGTGTGTGTGTGTGTGTGTGTGTGTGTGTGTGTGTTTGTGTGTGTCTGTGTGTGTGTGACGATAGCAGGACTGAACTTCTTGTTCTCTGGTTGTTAAGTGCCTCCATGTTATCTTGGCCATTCTAGGGGCCCTGAAATTTGAGTATGGCTAATAGATGCCATAGGTTATTACCTCAGTTTGAGAGTCCCAAATGATGTGTGTCATTTCTTGTCACAGGTGGCTGCCAGCTTCCTGAAGCTTCTTGCTGTAGGGGAAGAAACAAGACTGTGGGTAGGTAAACATTCATTTCTTCTCCCTCATCATGGATGAGATTTGTTTTGATTCTTTGATTCTGTTCAATTGAAGCTCATCAGTTCTTTCCCCATGCTATCCCATTCTCATCCAGTTCAACAAGCTATTTCCTCTCCTTCTATGTCGTTGTCTTCTACATACTCTCTTTGTTTGTGGAGATATAAATTTCTTTTTTGCTAAAGAAGAGCTCTCCCCGTGGACCAAACACCTTGCAGCCTTTCTCTTGTATAACAAGTAAAGGCAACCCCTCACAAGTGCTTTTTTTGGGGGGGAGGGAAGATCTATCAGCTGCCTTCATTTCACCTTCTGTAAGTCCCTCCTGTTGCTATTACAGTCTTCCCTTGGAACCCCCACTTGACTTCTCCTTTCTGCCATGCGTGGAGGAGAGAGTCCCCGGAGGAACGTTAGTGTCCTGGGTTTTGGGTGGTTCTTATTTTTCTCTAAGCTCAATACAAGGAACATGCTTATCATTGTATACTATGTATTAACTAATGTCTGTGTCAATGCAATGAAAAAGAAACTATGTTGCCTTGAACTAAACTCTCTTGGGTCTCAGGTTTTTTTTTTTTTTTTTCTAAGTAATAGGTAGTTTGACTAAGTCAGTGGTTCTTGGATACTAGATTGTAATTCAGGAGTTTATTCCAGTAGAAGGAGATTCTGAGAAGCGTAATGGTGCACCAGTTAAGTACATTCCAGGTGAAGATCTTTTGCTTACAGCTGTGTGATCCTGAGCAAGTTACTTTACTTCTCCATTTCATGATGACGTGTCGATAACCCTTACTGCACATGATTTCTGTGGGAGTTTAATGATTTAATATAGTGTTCCCTATATTCAAAGAGTACCTAGTAGTGAGTAGTAGTGAATACCACTGAGCATTTTCTGCCATTTTCTGAGTGTGCTAGCTGCTCACTCACAATGAAGAAAAAATGAATAGTATACTTTCCCTGTCATCAAGGCATTTATAGTCAGTGAACACTAGGTCATGAACTATGTGAAATATGAATATATACACATACATACATATATATATATATATATGAGGCATGGCATTATATAACAGGAAACATCTTTGTATAGGAGAACTATGGATTGTATAGATTTCAAGATGTTTATGAAATATCAGAAAGAGGACATTTATGTTCTAGAATGATCTTACAGCAGATTTTTGTTTCAATGTGGTAATAAATTGAAATGCCCTCGACAGAGCATTTAGAAATGAGTGTGTAGAATGACAATAACCTCAGGAACACTGTGGAATACTTGTGTACTAGCCCTTTCCTGTCAGGATAAAGCAAAGAAAGAAGAGTTGATATGCAAAAGCCTGTGTGTAGTCTCTTCAGGGCTGCTTTCCCTGTTTCCCCATGTGTACTCTGTAGTACAGTCATTCTGATCTATTTACTTTTCCACAACATGCTGCACTTCAAAGTTCTGCTTACCTAGTCAACAAACAAACGTAATGGATATTGAATCCATTTTTCTATAATTGCTTACAGTGGACACTAGGGAGAAGAGCAAAATGGGTTAGGTGATTGATACATTAGGGAGTTTCTCAGAGGATATTGTTTGTGGATTTTTCCTTGACAAATAAAAAGTAGAGACCATAGGAAATGTTCAATTAGTTGATTGTTCTGAAAGGATGTGATGGTGGGTAGATCAAGAAACCCTGGCATCATGAGTAGATCTCATTAGATGATAGGCACAGGTACTTTACATGTATTAACTCACGTAATACAACTTGGAGATGAGGTATTCTCATCACCTCTGTGTTAGAAATATGGAAATAGAGACACTGGGAGATCAAACACCTATCCAACTTCCAGAGCTGATACAGGAGTGGAAGCCTTTCTGGGATTTGAACCCAATCTTCCAAGCTACAAGAGTCTAACTATTTTTTTTTTGGGGGGGGGGGGCGTTCAAGATAGGGTTTCTCTGTGTAGCTTTGGAGCCTGTCCTGGATCTTGCTCTGTAGCCCAGGCTGGCCTCTAACTCACAGAGATCTGCCTGTCTCTGCCTACTGAGTGCTGGGATTAAAGGCGTGTGCCACTGCTGCCAGGCACAGGACTCTAACTCTTAAACCAGGGGTGTCAGCCTTTCTGATATCACAATATGACATTGTCACTTATAGATGTGTTGGGCTATAGTCATAACATTCTTTTCCTAGAAAAAAAAAGGTTTTTTTTGTTATACCCCAGCACATATGCATATATTCTAGTGAGCCTGTTGACTCTTTAAAATATTTACATAAATTTTATATTAATACATGTATATTATACCAAATATACAAATATTATATATCATATGAAATATACAAATATTAAATATTATGTTAAATATATATTTGCAATGGTGGGTGTCATATCGAGGGATTTGCACACACTAATCAAGTAATTCATCACTGAGCTACACACCCAGCCATGACAGCTTCCTCCTGAATGAATTTGACACAGCAATAGATAGAAACTATCCAGTGAAACAGCAAAAGAAATGGAAGAATATCAGTGATTTATGACAACTTCAAGGTGTCCAGTATTTGCTGTGGTAGTTTGAGTACGGAATGTCCTCCACCGGTTTATGTTTGAACACTTGGTCCCCAGCTGGTGATGCTGTTTCCAGGGGCTGTGGAGTCTTTAGGAAGGGGAGCCTCACTGAGGAAGTAGGTCACATGGGGTATGGGGGTGGACGGTGAGGCTTTCTAGTGTAGCTCCACTTCCTGTTTACTCTCTGCTTCTTGAGTGTGGGTGGCCAGCCAGCCTCCGGCTCCTGCAGCTATGTCTTCCCTGCCTGTTGCCCTGTCTCCATCACCATGACAATTGTATCCCTCTGGAATGATACGTTCTAACTGTTAGGGTCCTGGAGAAGTTCCACAAAAGACCACCATCAACATAATGCAGGAGCATTTATTATCTCAAGAATCAAGATACCAGCATGCTGTTGTTGCCCATCCAACACAAGGGCAAAATGGCAACCATGAGAGATGCTCGCAGTTTCCTTTGAAGCAAAGCTAAGGGGAATTTCAGGGACAGGTAGGTCATCTCAGATATGATTGGCTTACTCGAGTGGCAATCATACTAATACATTCTAATTGGCTAGGGCTGGCGGGGGCTGGTTAAGGTTACAGTTTTTCCATTTTGGGGCAGGTCTGGACAAGTTCCAGGCTTTGTCCATGTGTGGTCATTACCTTGAGCTGTCCTGCAGGCTGGCCCAGGCCTAGTACGTGCAGTTCTCCTCCTCCCTACTATCAGGGGAGTCTGTGATTGATTGCCCTTTGTTCATCGCTTCCTTAGAAATAGTCTGTTCAGTTTCAAGAGGCAGGAGCTGAGGCTTAGGTCTTAACTAAGTTATTAGGAACCTGTCGTGGTGTTTGCCTGGCCTTCTCAAAACCAAACCCTTCCTTCTTAATTTGTCTTTGTCAGGGTAATTTATTGCAGAAGTAAGAAAGTAGCTAAGGCCTTTGTACTGTTGTAATCACTGAACAAAACAAGCAAGGGGTGTGGGTAGAAACCATTTAAAGAGATAACATCCAAAACATCTTCAACATTTATGAAAACTGTCAACTGATCAACTCAAGAAGCTTAAAGAACTCCAAACATCAGAAACACAGACAACTCTACAAAGGCAATCCATGATGAAACTGCACAAAACAAGTGACGAAGAGAAAACTAGCCAGCAGAGACGAGATACGTTACACACAGTGAGACGAAGATGGGCAACGCTGCAGACTTGTCATCAGAAAGAATGCAAGTGAGAAGATGTAGGAGGCACAGCATCAAAGCAGCGTGAAAGAAACTCAACATGGAGTTCCGTACTAAAGAAAATACCTGTAAACAATCAAAATGAAACAGTGACTTCTTGAGATTCGTAAAGTCTGAACTAAGTCCATCACTGGCAGACTTACACCATGGTAAACATAGGAAGCCCCACAAGGGGCAGCAGGCAATGGTAGTAGGTGGAAGTGTGGATATATACAAAGGAATGAAGGAGATATATACAACTCCGCAGAAGTATATAAGACAGTGAGATTGTTTTCTTATTATCTGCATCTCTTTAAGTGATCACGGTTAGACTGAAGGTGGCATAGTGTTTATATTACATAACAAAGTACCACGCGCGGCAACAGTTGCAGCAATGCCTAAAATAGAAAATCAATTGACATTGTATAATTTTCATGAGAAATAAATCGCATATGCACCTATTTAAAAGATGTTATTTTGGGGGCTGGAGAGATGTCTCTGCAGTTAAAAGTGCATGTTGTTCTTCAGAGGGTTGGAGTTCAGTTCTCAGCACTCAGGTCCAGTGGCTCACAAACTCCAGCTCTAGGGAATCTGATGCCCAGTTCTGGACTCCATGGATACCTGCACACACACACACACACACACACACACACACACACACACACACACACACACACACCCTTTAAAAAGAGATATCATTGCGCAAAAGAGAAATTTAACTGTATCTGGCAATATTTTCCTTGTTTAAGTATCAACATAGAAATAAGACTAAACTGTACAGCTTGGTCCCAGGGCCAGATTGGAAACTGTAAAACTGTAGGTCTTGGAAGGAACAATGCCTTGGCTCTTTTGGTGTTGTCCATGTATAAAGTTGGAAGCATACAGTTGAGGATGAAAAAAATTTGAGTTGAGTCATGAAACTAAGATACCTGTCATTGAAAGCTCTGTGGAGCCCAATTTTAAAAGAATTGAATTGTAAATTACCGAATATAGTAATTATTGTAGCAGATGCACAGTAATTAGTTTGCAACATTAAGATTTTTGTTTGGGGAATTTTAAAATCCCTTCCAAAAGAGAAGAAGCTCTGTGTGCACAGAATTTTACTTGAACTCAGCAGTGTTTTCAGTGTTAATTTTCCCTTAGTGAGCCAAGGTTTTGCTCATCAGTAGTCAATGCTGGGTAAAGAGATTTTGGGCTCCAGAATCAGAAAGAGGTACATGGAACACACAGGAATCATACTGACTTTT